TCCAAATTGATTTCATTATGGGAGCTCCTCGGGATAATGGAAATAATTTCAAAACAAAACAGATGCAAGTAAATGAGGAAAGAGGAACCTGAATACTTCAGGTAGATTTCTTTCTTTATTGTTCACTAGCTCACAAATCTGTGGTGAATGACAACTGAAAGGGGAGGACGTCTGTTTAATTTTCTCACATTGGTTATTTGCAGAATCCTCATGTTAAAAGAGAGAGCAGGAGATGTATTTCTTGATGTTACCACACCAAAATTATCTTTCATTATAGAAATTATTTTCTTATTAATTATTAGGGAAATATCACTTTTCTGGTGAGGTTATTAGAAACAGTAATTAGAATGTGCTTCATGTCATAAATTCAGTACATTGTAAATGAGCAGTCATCTATATTAACATTTGAAAGAATCATTCCTACTTAGTAACAACACAAGAGGTGTAGGACAGGTTCAGTGAATTGATGGAGAAGTGGGAAGAGCTGATACTTGAATCAAAGGCCATTTATCCCACTCAGCCAATAATCCCCAAGAAGAAAACTGTGCCAAGATTTGAAAAGATATAAGAAAGGTTTCACTTTTGGGTGAGTGAATCTTGTGTCTTGAACACATTGAGGAACAGATGCATGCTGTCACATAAAGATGTTGTCAATTTGTCATGTTTTTACATTTGTGTGCTATTGGATAAAGCTGGTTGAATACTAGCTGATGTTTAAGGCACCTACATTCTAAGTTCAAAGATTTCCACCATTTTAGAAAGCAGAATATATGTTTGCCAGTAGCTTACAAAGCACTGGAATAAGAATCAATAATGAGTTTTGATCCAGAGTTCATTTGTGACACCCTGTAAATCAGTTCTGTGAGTTCATTGCTAAATGTCTGCAGAATGGGGATCAATAAATGCAGAAAGAGAAATTTAACAAATATTGGTCATTATGCTAATTAGCAAAGACCATTACAAAGGATTCTGCAATCTGTAGAAAATTAAATACAGAGTAAATAACCAGATAGGAAGAAAACAGAGAAATTCAGTTTCAATTAATACAATTATTTCAACTACTACAGTTATGTCAAAGTTCTGTGGAAATCAGTGTCAGTTTTTAGAACAGTGTCGTATGAATACAGATTTATAGTGAATATCATAATCCTCTGATGGCTTTTGTCTCACAAAGACCCTAGCAAATGCAGAAAAGGTCTGTGGTAGGATAATGTGAAGGTTAAAGCTACTAAGAGGACTAGGCACAAATTAAAAGGGAAAGGTACAAGTGAGAGAAGCAATGTCCTGAGTGTACGGAACAACAAAACATTAAAAACATGCATTTGAACATGGTTTGGCCTACAGATTATGACAAGGAAAAGAAATATCCATACTGAAACACAACAGACATAAAATACTACAAGTACTGCATTTCCTACCATTTACAATTAACCTGTGTGGATTGTTGCCACAGGACTCCACTGAGAGAAAATAGCATAGTAAATTCCTGAAAAGAGTAGCATCTGCAGCTCAGCCTGAGATGACCATGGAATAAGAACTATGAATCCTCTCGTGCTGCAGGATCAAGCCAGGACCAGCTGGATCTCAGAGAAAAGTTCTTTTGTGGCCCAATAGAGAAGGGAGCAGAAGTGCTACAGTTGAAGGGCAGATGTTACAACAGAAGAACTGCTGCTTTGTAATGGCATCACAGCTTTTGTCACTGGTTTAACACATCTGGAGAATAGAATTTGGTATTTACTGAGAAATGTAGTATTAAAATGCCAGCATGCATGTCACGCCTTTTTAGTGCAAGTGATTCATATTCCTCTAAATCACTAAAACTATGAGAATATATTTAGCTTTTTATTGATTGCAGGAAGTGAAACAACTGAATAGCATTGAGGATTTTGCATTGAAATCAAGTTAGCTATGTATCATAAATTTCATGGAGTTTTTATCTTTTAATCTAAAAACAAAAACTATTTTAAAACAGATTGTTGGTTCATGGTTAAAACCTAGATGAAGTCTTGGTTATTCTAAATTATATTCTCAGCTCTGAGTCAGAACTCTTGTGTGAATTCAGACAAGTTATTTAACTTCTATGCATTTAAACTTCCTCATACCTGAAAAATGAATCTGCCAAATGAAGATGCTGCTGAATCATTGAGTGCATTCTGTGTTCCAGACATGAAAACTTTATGGAAATGCAAAGTTTTATTACTGAGCTTTGTTTTGAAGCTGACAAATGAGTCAGATTCCTCTAGCTGTCACCCCACATAAAATAAATGTAATTATATAGTAACTTCATAGCTAGGGACATTTATCTGAGTGAAATTCTATAGCTGCAGTCTGGTATCCCAGATACAGCTTGGCATGCTTTCCCAGGTGCATAGTGGGATCTTTGGTAGGCTGTTCCCTTAAGATCTGTGTTTGTTTGGGGTTTATTCTGCCTGTCTCCCTCTTAATCTTTCTCTCTCAGGTCATCTCCAAACAGTACCCAGGTCACTGGGCTAGTCACAATTTTCACATTGGAAAAGCACCAAAACATGGTATTTCTCCTGCATTGCATGGATCAGTGCCATGGATGCCAGGTAAACTCAGGCCAGGAGCTGCATTCCTGTGCTATCTTCCCTTCCCTATCAATAGCCAAAGCAGCTCCTTAATAGTGAGGGATATTATGTGAGTGCTGCTGATTTTACTACTGTACATCACACACAAGTGTCCTTCAACTTGTCTGCTCCCAATTACTTGTCTGGACTTGTCTGGTCCCAAAAAAATGGAATCAAAATAATAATCCTCTTGGATCTGGCAGATTTAATTACACCTTGCTGCCAGGCCTTTTTGATCCATGCTGGCTCTTTTTCTCCTTACAGAGAAATTTTGCCTGCATCCTCACAGGTGCTGGATGATGCTGGAGGGGCCATTTGGGCAACCAGGAGGAGACACACAAGGCTTGGTATTACAGCTGGGAGCCAATTTACTTCTATCTGCCCAAGCTTGCTGCAGGCAAAAGGATGGGATGAAGGTTGTATGCAAGAGATAACCAGAATAAATGCTCCCAGCAGTAGCACCATGAGGAACAGACTGTGTAGAAAGTACAAACACAGAGACACTTTAGGCAATGTTCATGGTGACTAGATGCCTGCAAGTGAAGAACACTGTGCTGTTCTCTATGAGCAATGTCATCTCCTGGTGTCCTGGATCAGGCCTAGGAGAAAGATCTTTTCTACAATGGATGAAAGAAATAATAAAAATGCACTGAACCCCACATAGATACAAGAATTGCTTCCTGTTTGTGTCAATGTTGTGATCCAAGGAGCACTGTTTCATTATTGCTATGCACCCCGTTTCACATCTGCAAAAATAAAAATTGCCCCTCTTGACTATTGTGAAATTACTGGGAATTGTAGATGTCCTACTCCAATTTGTGAAAGAAATATCAAATTTAAGCACTCATTCTAAAATGTTGGGTCTGGTACCTTGGGCAAGCTCCAGGGTGGAAGACCATGGAATTGCATCTAGTGAAAGAGTGTTATAACATAGGAACTAAGGCACAACATCTTTGTTCTACATGGTTCAACCTCAGCCTGAACAGTGTTGCCACTGGGGGAAAATGGCTCAGATTCTCATTAAACATTTGCTCAAATGCTGAGAGAGCTGGAAATGCTGTTGGTGATATAAAGTGGAGAGCAGAATAGATTCCCTCATCTATTTCCCACAGCTGATAAACAGTAATGCCCTTCAGTCTCTCCCCAGCTGGCCTGGCTTCAGATGAGTAGCACAGTAATGAGAGCCTCCATATCCCATTAGCAGTTCTCAGGCCATCCGTGGTTCATTGGAGAAATGCCTGCTCCAAGCTGAGATGGATGGCTTCCCCCGTAATGAAAACAGAGCGAGGAGCAGGGCTGCACGAGGAAGACCTGCTTCTATCTCATCCCTGTGCAGGAGGAAGGATACCTGCAGGGGGGAGTTTTGGTAAGTATCTGGTACCTTTGTTTCACCACACAAAGGAAAGACAAATGGTAACACATCCATAATTCTAAGACCAGTTTTGACATAATAGGACAAAATGGTGCCTGAGGATTCCTATGTATCAAGCAGATGGGCCATCCATTATTTTCCCTCAGGTCAGGGGTCATCCTAAAACGAGAGTCAGCAATCATTTTGCAGGGTATAACAAAACCATTTTTTTGCCTGCTTCTTAATCTCAGAAAGCACTACTGTCCTCTACTTTTGTCCACATACATTATCATTTTTGTCTATTATCTGCATCCCCAGAGACCTAATAGTCTTTTCTTCAGTGCGGCTTGATCTGGAGCAGCTGTAAGCTTTGCTGCAGGCAGTGTCTGACAACTGCTTGCCTCTTGGTCAGTGTCAGCTCCCTGGGGGAGGGTAGGCATTCATTTCATTATTAAAGCATGGAAAAAAATCCTATATTCATTTAGATCCAGAATGAATACGTAATATTTGGAACAAAGGGTCCATGTTCCAGTCCAGCTGGCAGTGCTTTTACCATTGCCATTCTCCAAGCCCAGCTCCTGCTTAAAGCATGCATTAAGGTCATTTATTTAAAAATAATGGAATGTGCTGCAAAAGCCCTTTTCCCTCTGTCAGTCTAAATTTCACCTTCCAACATCTCTCATTGATCCTCAAGCACTAAGAGCTTGAGTGGAACAGCACTTTTGTGAAAATAAAGATTGTTCAATTACAGTGCTTGGGAGAAGAAAGCAATAGCTAAGAACAAGCCCAATGGTGTCTTCTTGTGGTTTGGTTTTGGTTTTTTTTAACCAGGTCTGAGTCTTATTTTGTCATATGTTTTCTCCTTCAGGTGTCAGGTGAGTGCAAATTTTGTTTATAAATTACCTCCTCCGTTACTAGGGTAGAAATGGATGTTGATAAAAGGGTTTCTTTTTGGCTTACTACAAGGCACCATAGTACTTCACATGATTAGCCAAGGCTAATCATGTGAGCTTCAAAACTGTTCATGTGCTTTTGCTGCAGTTGTCCATCACATCTGTTTCTGTTCCCTTCAACTGAGAGATGGAAGAAATGGGCTCTGAACCAGTTGCTCCTCATGATTTCAAGAAGCTAACCCTGAAAATGTGCAGCATTGTACAGGATCAGGATGAAATCTTGACCCTATTGATATTAATGGACACAATAATTTACATCAACAAGACAAGAAGGTAATCTCTGTGGTAAAACACAATTTATATTTCACCAGATTACCTTCTTAGGGGCCTTCAAGGTGAGTGAGCAGATGGAAGCTCCATCCTCCAAAGACTATGCTGAAAGATAACCAAAATTGAAGTGAAAGGCATTTCAAAGGTAAAATCACTGCATCATTTGACACCAACTTTGAAAAAATTTAGGCTGAGATTTGTCTGAAGCAATGGTAGCAACTAAAAGCTAAGCATGAATTCTGAATGACTATGTTCAGAGTGTGATTTATTCATCCACTCATCCTTACTTTAGATGGTGGGATTATCCTTATTATAATTTGTTTTGAAATGAAACCATACCTGAGACATTTTTGTCTTTGTTGGTTAGACTGACTTTTGAATTCAGTTGCTTCAACTTTTTACAGATTTTCACTCCTTGGGAAACAAGCTAATCCTGTTACAGGAAGGTAGGAAGTTTTTTTCTTTACACTGCTACTTTTTATATAATCTTTTTGATAACAGAAACAGGGGGGAAATCCAATGAAAATATTTACTGATATCTTCCTTAAAATTTGTATTTGCGCAGGTAATTGTTTGTATAACAAACATTTTTCCTCCACTTTCAGACGTGTAAGACAACGCTGTCATAAGCAGAACCAATAGTAAAATTTTTGCCTCACAATTTCCAAATCCTTCTGAAGACATTTTACAGACAGACACTTCAAGCTTTAAGGTGGTGATAACTATTTGGAGGGATTGAGACCAGGCTTGCCATCTCTGCATCATGTACATCTGTTTTCCCTCGCTGTACATGCTTCATTCTAATTACCGTTAATAGGAACTGGTTGTGCAGTCTGAGGAAATCTGAATTAGTTGTTGTTCTTTCAGCAGAGATGAAGATGTTTGTGACTAAATAAAACCCTGCCATTCTGCATGCCTAGCACACAGCATTAATTGGACCACCACCTTGACAATATTAAAAGGGCACAGAGTGGGGGGAGCAATTTTGCCTTTCTTTTGTACAGTCCACATGAAGGTCAAGAAGACTTGCAGCTGCTTTACTCTGGGATACATAAGAGTGGCTTCCTTCTTGCTTCTGTCTTTCCCTTCCCTTTCATCTCCTACTTTCAGCAGCAAAACATGGAAAACATACCCAAACCTAACACACCAGGAAAGGAAAGTTGAAAAGAAACCTTTCAATAGCCTTAGATTCTATGCATTATGATGCCCTGGGGGAAATAAAGCTCATCCCAAAGGACACCAGACCTGAAGACAGGTGGTGTTATACACAAGTTCTTGTTTCTGCCAGCTCAGAGACACACACATAGCTCAGTTACAGAGAGTGTACTGGCAGAGCTGTAGTGGCTGTCAGGGTGCATTGCTGAAGAAATAGGTTGTAAACTGGTATCCCATTCTAAGTCAATCATGTGGCTATGTCCTAATTTAAAATTAGGTAAACCTCATTTGGATATTTTTTTTTAATCTCACCCTAGCTTTTTTATATTATTTTTTGTTCTGTCTTGAACATCTCCTTTATTAACTTTGGCTTTGTACATGTGCTCCATGCTTAAACTTCCTGAAGACCCTATATCTCACTACCAGCTCTGAGGACTGTCCTGAAGGCTATACCTCACACCAAGCCCCTTAGAAGGCACAGTGCCCTGGCAGAGATGACTGCTGCAGACTTTCCTTGATCCTGACTGGAAGCACCCACTTAAATTGGCCAGAGACTTATAGGTTGGTGTATACCAGGAAATAAAAAGAGTTGGAGCACAGGCTAAAGCTGTTTCCATGACAACTCGTACTGTTTAATTGAATTTTCCCTGCCACATGTGGCTTTGGCCCATAAGAGCTGTGATCTCCATGCAGAGCTCAAATGCTTCACAAGGTGACACACACCATGGGATACTCCACATTTTTATACAGATAAAGATTCCCTGCAGTTTTCCTCTTTTACTTTTGGGATGGAAGAAGCCACATAATTATGACCTATGCACTTACTTTCAGGGTCAGAAGAAGTCTCTTGGAGCTGTTCAGCTTAATATGGACCTCGTCTGGGGAAGGGAATGGGAAGTCTGGTGAACAAAGAATCATAGAATGATTTGGGTTGGAAGGGACTTCAGAGATCATCTACTTCCAACTCTGTTGCAATAATCAGGGATGACACCCACTAGACCAGACTACTTAAAGCCTCACACTACCTGGCCAAGTTACTACTCTCTAGTCAACTATATATTTCACAAGGGGGATTGAAGAGACAGTGTCCTGATTCTGGCCAAGACAGGGTTAATTTTCACCTAGTCAAGAGGGAGAATGGCTAGGTTCTGGAGGATATTCTATACCACCTCTCATCATTTTCCAGGGGCAATGGAAGGACACTCTCTGGGTCAGGTTAGGGCGGTGGAGGAAGTGGTTGGGTATTTTTGGGGGTGGGAACTCACATGCAAATCATTAATTTCGTGTACCCTCTGTCATTCTTGCTATTACTGTTCATTTTCTTATCTCATTGCTGCTTCCAGTAAATACTTCCTATCTTAACCAAAGATCTTTACCTTTTGTGCCTCCATTTCTCCTCTCCATCCCACTACAGGGGGAGGGGATAAGGAAGGAAGGAGTGAGCAAGGGACACATGGTTAGTCTTAGTAGGGAATGTTAAATTAGGGAGTACCATTCCTTAACTAACAGAGTTATACAGTCTTTCTTCTTTCCATCTGCCTTCTAGCAGCCCAAAGCCACCTGAAGTTTACTCATATCCAGCAATATTTCAATTATTTGCACTTCTCTGCTGGCTTTAAGAGTTCAGTTGGACCCAGGCTGTGGCCAGGTCTATGCTGTCTTTATTTGTTTCTGGAAGATTTAAAACATGGTATTTTGCTTGGGGCAACATTAGCAAAGAGATTTGTTTTAATATTTTATCTGAAATAAAACAAACCAAAACATCACTTTGAAATGTAGAATTTATCACAAAAAAGTCTAAATCAACTGCTCAGTTTATTAGAGATCCTTTTTTTAGAGGGTTTTTTTTTCCAAACACCATAATATTGGATTTTTCAGCTGCATACATACATTGCATGCAAATGTTCAAACAAAAGTATTTCTTGCAAAATGAAAAAATGGATCACAGTGAATAGATTCAAGAATATGATGGGATAGGATCACATTTACTCTAATAATGTATAGGCACGTTATGTGCATTACTGTAATCAGGTAACTGGATCTTTTTACCTAAATTTGGCTGGAATTTTATTGTTTTTATTTTGTTTCCCTTCAGAGTGATTAAACTGCATGATTAAGGCTATGGCACCTGGAAAAGAAGCAAATACACAGTGTGCCTGCAATTCAAATTCTTTCATCTATGTATACTCCCTCCCTGGAGCTGGCAGCTGCTACAGGAAACACTGGAGAAAAGGGCAAAAGTAGGTGTTGAAATGTCATTATTCTGCAACCGTTTTTGTTGTACCTGACCAAATTCTTCAAATGGGAAGTGACCTTATGGAAAAACAGTGTAATTCAGAGAAGGCACTATATGCTATGTTTGGTCAACACCACTTACTTTTAGTGAAACAAAACACTTCCAAGGCCCAGGTGTCTGTGGACATCAGGGGCCAGCCCTGCCTCTCAATCAGGACAAAGTGCATGGGGATTCTTACCCTCTCTTCTGCCCTGGTTGTCATGTGAATAAGTGCCCAGCGAAATGACCTGGAAGGAGCTGGAGGTACAAACTCCACCCAGGACCATGGCTACTTTGAGAAGGCCAGAGTGAGCATGCAGTCCCAGCACTTCAACTAGATGCAAACTTTCAATTCATTTAGAAACCAGGATCCCTATTTCTGCATGAGTTTAGGGCTGAGCTTTTTTCCTATTCTAGCACATGTGTGGTAATGCCTATGGTGATATATTACTTAAGGTCATGTATATTAGACAGGACTTGAAATTACTGAGTAACACTTGAAAGAAGTAGGATCTAAAGACAGGCCAAAGAGAGATCCAATCCACACAGAGTACTTACCTGTTTTCTTTCTTCATGCTCTGCCTTTTGGCACGAAGATGAGAAATTTCTGCTTGTTCTACTGCCACCAGCTGCCAATCCCCTGAGCTGCTAAAGGCCAACCCACCTGCTCCATGTTCCTTCTCACCAGCTAGCGGTAAAAAACACCACTAGGAAAATGATGTTTTCATGCTACAGAAACCAGCAAACCAGAAGAAAAGCAAGGAACAGCTGCTGCCTTGAGAAACCTCAGCCTGCGCTCCAGGCTGAGCACTCATCCCAGCCACAGACTGCAGAGCAAAGCAGGAGCAACAAAAGTGAATTGCTCAAGGGAGTGCAAAAGTTTGAGCATGAGGCAAATGAAGCATGAAAAACGAAGCAGTGAACCAAACAATTATTCACCACTACAAGAAAATCCATTAAAGAAAAACAAAGCCATCTACAATAGCGCAGCTGAGGGAGGTAGAGATGAAAGCATGGAAAACAATCCCCCCCTGAAAAGCTATCTTGAAATTCTTGGAGTAAGGAAGAAAAGTAGGAGAACAGAGAGGGGGAAAAGGAATGGGGGAAGGTAAAATATCAAAATGTAAATTAGTAAGCTTCATCAGAGAACTCTTTCCAAGACATGCAAGGAAAAGACTAAACAAGAGCTACTGCTTCTCTGGGCATAGTGCCATCTCATCACATGCAAGGAGAGAATCTCAGATAACTGAGGTAGAATAACAAATGATCATGGAAATGGTAGGGTGAATGGTGAAAAAAGGGGGTTTTGCCCTATAATCACATTCAAGATATTGTACATTCATCATCACTGTGTAGTTTTGTGAGGGTTTAATTAGCAATGAATGTAATTGAGGTCAGTTTACTGTGTTACTCTGTTACTAAGTAAAACTTTGAACATACTAATTTTGTCAAGTGTCTTTTTCTTCAAAGAAGCTGCTGCTTAGTGCATGGCAGCAGCAGCAGCGAAGATAGTTAGGGGCACATCCTCTTTTTCAGGACTGTCTCCTGTTGAGCTGCATTGACAAAGTCTTACAGACATTTTTCCCCCCCACGATACTCACATATGAAAAGATGCTTGGGGCAATCCATTTACCGTTCCATTTACCATCAAACAGGGTATAAAACTCAGGGAAGTGTACATAGTGACACCAAAAACATGGATGTAACACATTCTGGGATGTCACATTGTTCAGAGCAAAAAGACAAAGGAAGTAAGCTGTCTATAATCCTTGGATATACATGGTAGCAGTCTAGAACACAAAAATAATTTAATATTTATCATGCATTAGCATGAGCTTGCTTCAAATGCCAAGATGTCTATGCTGTCTGCCTATTATATTTATTGAATCATTTTGATTTCCAAACACATTTATCGTAAGTTGAAACTTTGTTGTCTGACTAGGAGAAAGAGAATATTTTCCAAGTCCTAAATGGCAGCTAAAACACAATGAGGTGGATCCAGGAGCTGAAGCTTTTTCTGTAACTCTAGATAGCATTGGGTTACCCCATTTGCATCAAATGGCAAGACTAAAAAGCAGATAAGCTACTGTATTGGAACCTGGATATTTATCCCATATAAAGAACAGTGCTGCAAGGGTGACAGCAGAGATTCCTTCTGTTTGCAGTATGCTATATCTAAAAAGTGAAAGGGCAGGCTTTAGGTATAACATGGGAGATTTAGAGGTGAAAATTTGGATTCATTTCCCTGAAGAAAAATTCCATTTTCCAAATTTTGGGATAGACCAGCTTGCATAAATAACATCAGGCTAGGCTGTTTGCAAGGGTTAAATACTATTAGTTGCTATGAATATTAGCCTAAGATTTACACACATGAAGGCATAATCTATATTTGGAGTCAGCTACCAGTTAAAAAATAATTTAAAATTTGATTTGAACATAAGACTTCATTGCCTCCCTACAAACAGAGTCAACATAACTTACCTAAAACATTTAAATCCAGCTAAGGAAATAGATTAGAGAGATATGAATTGCATGAAGCACTCAGACATTTTAACATCTTCTTAAGAATAGAGATTTTAACTTTTGCCATTATTAATTCAATTCTACTCAGACTCATTTTCCATTTTTTATTCTCTTTAGATGACACTCATTTTGCTTCTATTCAAGATACTTCTTCTGCAAGCCCTGTCAGCCTCTTTCCCTGATACACTGCCAGTATTCATTTTTCTCATGCTAGGAAACATGGTCAGCATTGCTGGCCACAGGCAAACTCTGTAACTTATCTATGCAGAACACTTGTTTTAGGATTCATTATGAATACTTGGCTCCAGATTCCTAACATAGTTACTGAAGCATCCCCAGAGCAGAAAAGAGCACAAAAACTGCCATGGTGGATGAGACACATGGTCCATCTAGCACAGCGTCCTGTTTAAAACAGAGAAAAGCCTGTCTGCTTCCAAGGAAGTGTCTGAGTGGACTATGTCTTCAGAAGAGTCTTCAGAGGAGCCTTTGACTAACTTAACACGTCCTCATTCAGGCATGTCTTAACCTGGATGCAAGAGACTTCACTCCCTCATTCTTTTTGTGATCTTAATTCAAATATTTCTTAGAATCATAAAGCTATGAAAAAAAATGAGAAAAAGAACCCCTCAAGCTGGTTCAGGATGCTATGAGCCTGTGCTGTTTGCCAGCATACCCTGCAGGTGATACCACTGGGCTCCTATCATTCAGCAGTCCTGTGAAGAGTAAGTCTGCTTTGTCTTCTCTCTAATTACATTAGAAGTAGGAAAAAAAACAACAACAGACTATCTGAGTTAGGACATGAGGGTTTAGAGCTGCTACTGATGAAACCATTTTTCTACTAGACTGTAGAAAGTGGGCAGACTTCATCAAGGTTGAAAACAGCAGGTGATATCAGACAGGCTTCAGCCTCTTCAGCCCAGACTGAGCAAAGCTGCTGTATTTAAGTTGCTGCTGGTGCTCTCCTAATAGGGATGTTCCATGCAATTAAGTCAGATTCTGCCTTAAAACCCCAGACTGTTAATGCACATATATTCTGCTTTCTTTGCTAATTCTTTTCAATATTGTTTGTTTTATAAGGGAAAAGGAGTATAAAACACTTGAGGACACAGGTCATGAAGAACAATGGAAAACTGCTTTACAATGGAATACTCTTATTTATTCTCTGTACTAATAAAATGATTTTGACACTCTGATAATTATGTCTGGCTATGAAGATTTAGCTATGTCCTAGAGTTAGTTGCAATTTTTAGGATTTATCTCACTGGGGAAACTTGAATAGTTACATGCAGTCAAGATTTCAATTACTCATATGCTTGCATACCGGTCTGCTCTCTTTATTATATCTGTACATGCTCTTACCTGATGGCACTTTCTATCACCTTCAACAAATGCAAATACTTGAAGTAGATACAATGCTTACTCAACACATTTAGGTTCTAAAATTAATGTATGTGTATGATATTGATCATGGACTATTGTTTAGTTTTCCCACTGTTTCAAGAAGACACAAGTCAAACTACTTGCTATTTTTAAGTTAAAAATCAATTCACTTGACTAAAGTCCAGCATATCTGCATTATTATTAATTTCTTTCAAGACACTGCCCCATGGACTATTTAGGAACAAGGTTCAATACTTATTTCAGTAGTATTTCATTGGTTGGTTTTTTATTGAACTGGTTGAATAAAATTAAATTCTCTCATGTGTTCTGAGACACAGTGTATTAGGAATATCACCTTAGTCTCTAAATGTGAAAGGAGTTGAACATTATGTATCACAAAAAAGGAGCCCATGAGATGAATCATTGGTATAAAGCTCTTTGAAACATTTGTTGTTTGGAATACAGCAGTGGCATTTGTTTTTAGATATTATAATGTAAGAAAACCCACTGCATATTAGTGAATTGCAAGGTTGTGCAGAATTCCCTGAGCTGGGCCCATAAAAACAACATCTGCTAGAAGAGAAAATCCAAAACCTATAGCAGAAGGAACCCAAATTGTGAACAGCTCAAGGTTAATACAACAGAGCTTGCTCAACTCTTCTCTGACAAGGCCAGGTGAGAGGCATTTTGATTGGGAAACCAAGTAGCCAGCTCAGAGTGCTGCTGAGGGCTCTGCCCACACTTGGTTGCACAGGTGTGTCCTCATGTGTGACTAGAGAGCACAGATTTTCTTGGCTTTTGGCTAAATATTTGCTTGATTAAGGGTGCAAGGGGACCTGTATATCCTTATTACCATCTCCTAAATGCAGGGCTGGGTACAGAAGTGCCCATGCCGATGCCTGCTGTGTTGCATCAGCATTTACAGCAAATGAACCGTGAAAGGAGGAGACTGTGGAAAGGACACAGAGGTATTTTGTGGACCAGCACAGCACAAGTGTCACTGAACTGAGATAGGCTTCAGACCTGTGCTGGGGATCAAAGAAGAATGAGCATAGGGTGCTTGGTGCTTTCCCATTTAACATTGCTCTATTTTCTGCTTTTTCTTGTAAAGAAAGGATTCCCTTAGATTCAAGACCCTCACATTCAGGCCAATACAGGCACAGAAGAAGTCCAAAAAGGAAAAACAGGCAGTTCTCCCCTACACCACTCATATAATCTTGGCAGTGCAACTTCCAAGACAACCTTTTCTCATTGAAAAAGGAGATTCAACATAGATCCCCACAGACTGCTATGTCTTAAGAAGGAAATTGCCTCTTTGTCTTCTCCTCCCAAGACAGGCACCTCTTTCATTTCAGTTCAGCAGGTGATGCCTACAGAGCTCTCCCTTGGAGTATTGCTACAGCAGAGCAAAGCTTTACCCCTTCACACAGCTCCTGCCTTGCCCTGTTCTGTCAAAGGACCACAAAGATAAGGAAAAGAACATACTCCCTAGTGGCATTCAGAACCTGTTAGTATGTACCTAAGGGTCACTACATTTTCTTAAATTGACTAAAAATTGACTAAAAAGCTATGAGAGAGAGTTCCCTTTCCTTTTCTTTCTCTCTCTCTTTCAGATGAGTGTTCTTTTCCTCTATCTTTACAGGGGTCTGGAAGAAAGATCCCTTTTTGTGCTCACAACAAGAATTTTCATATGGCTTCCTTCTCAATACACTAAATGTGCAAAGTCACAGCACATAAAAACCAATCCTGTTACCAAAAGCATTAGTTCACATATTCAAGAGACTTGAGAAAGACTTGATTTTTTCTTCAGAATTGAGAGAAAACTGATTATGTATAAAGGTTAACTGAGGTGTAAATTAAAAAAAAAAAAAATTGAAACAAACTAACGTGGGTTTGAAGAACAATTCATAGAATCATTTAGGTTGGAAAAGACCTCAATGATAATAAAGTCCAACTGTTAACAGTTAACACATCTCTAAAAATGTTTCCTTCTTGATAAGAGACTAAGTAACCCTCAGAAACTTCAGTCAAGATACGTTGTCACTGGAGGGCAAATCAGAAGTATTAAAATCAGGAGTTTAAAGTGTCCAGCTAATTCCTTAACAGAACAAAAATCAACAGCTAAATTATTAAAAAAAGAGAAAGATGAGGTCCTGGCACTAGCTGTGCCATGAAAATTTATTAGAAAGTCCGAACATTTGGAAATACCAGTGAAAGCACAGAACACAGAAATGCAGCCCCCTCAAAACCTTTTGAATCTATGGAAGATCATAGAAATACTAGGTCTGATGTCTGATTTCCACAGGAGAGTCTGTAAAGGCAAATTTCCTTCTGTCATCTCCTTGAGGAAACTGATGATTGTGAGGGAGTATGGGTGGGACAGATATGAGCTGTTCTCTGTTCTCTTTTCAGTAAATTAAGCATGTTCAGGTTTGCCTTGTTTTAGTTTTCTGTTATGCTGAAGCTGATGGTATTTATTGTGCCTGAAGAGATATTTAACAACAGTCTGATTAAAAAACCCTAG